GATCTTGAGTGAGAGGACAGGGTTGGGCATGGCCAAACCTGCAGGGAGTGAGACACCATCAGGAGCTGGGTTTGGAAGGGAGAGCCTTTATTAAGGCACAGGACTCCCTGCTTCTATTCCAGCTCTGCTAGTGACAGAAGTTGCCTTGGGAGATGATTTTGGCTGAGACTGAGGGATGTGGAAACCCAGAGCGAGGCATTTGGGCTCGTATTTAGCCTTGTAAATGAATAGCTGGGTGGCAAATCACAGCAGCATTGCTGACATGAATAAAGATGAGGGATGCTCCTGGCTAAGGGTAGGTGTGATACCCCTGGAAAAGTCATGGTATTATCAGTTTTGCTTATGATTCACTGGAGATTTAAATTGAGCTGTGAATACTCCCATTCTGCTTATGAGGCTTTGTGAGTGCTAAAAGGCATTTGACAATCTCTGTTTCTCTTTGGTATGGATGTTGTTTCACCTTGGTTTACTGTTGTTGCTGCATTGTCATGGCCTTTGATTAACCTTGAAGTTTTAGTACTTAAACACTGATTTTCTACAGAGACAACAGCAAATAGATGGCTGGGATTACAGATGCCCATGAGCATTTTGGGTTTACTTTAGCACAGTTATCAATGTCTTGTTCACATCCCCAAAGTAATTTAAGTGTGTTAAATGTTTTAAGTTGTTTTCCATTGTGCAGCTGTCCAATGCCTGTAGTAAATACTCCTTCCATTCCAGCTCTAATTAAACCAATCCTTAATCCCTCTCCCAATTCCAGGGAAAGCCAGGGAGCACAGTGCCTTCTTACTAGCTTGTGCCACCTCTTTGTATTGTATCCATCTCCATCGCATCCAGGAATCCAGTTGCTAATTATTGGTGTTCCCTCAGAGGAAGCCCAATGGTTTTACATGTCAGGGAATGTTATTTGAATACAACTATTTCAGGAATAAATTTAAAGGTCTTTTTAAATTCTTATGTAAATGGGTGTGTAGAATCCAAGGGGGTTTCTTTTGGAAGGCAAATGAGATGATTAACCTGAAAAGCTTTATGCTGATTCCATCATGTGCTTTTACTGAGGGGAAAAAAAGGGACAATTTTACCTCTTTCAAGTCATTTTAAGTATTGTTTTTTTTTTCCAAGGGGGAGTTCAGTCCTTTCTCTTTCTGTTGCTAACCCAAAGCACAGTGCACATGAAATCTGGTATGCAGATTTTGAGCTGGGATTTATAAATTGCCATAAGAAGCTTGCACGAGTGTTTAAAGTCAACATAACCTTTGGATGTAAAGCCAGACTTTGGATTTATTAGTATTAGCAGCAGTCAGATTTGCACAGCTGAGTCTTGGCTGAGCTTAAAGGTCTAAGCAACAGGCATAGGGGATGCTGGAGCTACAGAAGGTGCTGGGTTGCCCATAGGAATGGGTGGTGGGTGAGAAGATGCAGTGTCCTTCTTCAGGAGGCTGGAACCAGCTTTCCTTATGCCATCACTCCATGGAGGACACAGTGGTCCAAAACCACAACGCTGCCCTTTGCATCCATCCAGCCGTGCATCAGGTCGGACCCAGCTCTTGTCTGCTCAGGAGGAGGACACAGTCTTCTCCAAAGCTCTAAGCAGAATTGATATCTTTAATGTAAAAATCATTAGATGGGATGTAATTAATGGTCCTTATTGCACATTAACATTAGCCAGAGTCAGGCTGCAGGCGTAATTTGCTTTGATTAGATATGTGGCTTTAAAAATTAGATTTATCCCAACCTCTACACTATTTACTGGCCTGTTTCCCTTTCCCTAGCTCTCCGTTATCATCTGGAGCCCTTTTCTGTGCTGCCTGGGTAGATAAGGTGAAATTAAAGCAGAGTCAGCCTTCAGGTTCCCCGCTGCCCTCCCTCCATGACAGCTTGGAGGATACACACCATCTCCAGTGTGGCCAAACCTCTGAGCTTTCTTATTCCAATCCTTTACCCATAGTGGGTCTGCAGATCCTTCACAGCTTCTCAGGAGCCACATAGACCTCGACCCCTGAATTCAGATTCTTTGCAGAAAGCTTTTATTCTCTTAGTTGTCTTTTACAGCCTCCCAGAGGTCTGTGGACCAAGCAGAGCATCTGTGCATCACCATGGGTTTGTTTTGGGATACTTGTGCAGCTCACCCTGTGATGAGCTGGTGCCTGCATCCCTGCTGGCAGGACCATTCCTTACCCCGTGGCTGAACATCCATCCCCCTTGGGACTGAGATTTGGTCCATGTGGGATTTGGTCACGGAGCTCCCATGCTTCTGTGAGGAAGTTGGCCCCTTTCCCACTGCCTCCTATGCTTGGCAGTGCTGTAATTAATGCTGGCCCTGCAAGCATGACCTGCATCCGGTCTCCCTGGCAATGAGAGCCCTGAGGAGCTGGAATTACAGCAGCACCAAGCTGGCCTGGGCTGATGAGGGGAATGGAGAGGCTGGAGATGAGGCTGCGGTGATGTGCTGGGATAGGGGAGAAGCAGCACTAGGAGCTGCCCCAGCTCTCCCCACATAACCACTGCTGGCACAATCCATCCTTGGGGTTTGAAGTGATAAAGCGATTTCCTTTTCTCTGCCCCATCAATATACGTCTAGTGACAACCTTAATCAACAAGAATCCTCTTTGTTGTGGTGTTGTCCCTGCCAGGACTCATTGTTTGAGTGTGGCTTCATTCTAGATCCATCCAAGGTGGTTACTTTAGCAAACAGTGTGCAAATCTATATTGATGCTGGTGCTTTCAGCACCTCCTCAGGCACGAATACACAAGCCATGTTCTACTTCTTTTATCAGGAGATTCCTGCTGATCCCTTTCCATTATAATTGCTTTTTGTTTTCCTCTTCTCTTTCTTCTTTCATTCATTATTCATTTGTTTCTCACTCCAACACAGGAGTTTGCAGCACAATCTGGGCCACCCTGGATCAGAGCTGCCTGACCCAGGCACAGCTCCTTCCCTTCAAACAGCACAGGGCTCCATTCCCCTCTGCCACTGCATGGGCAGCAGCTTCCAGGGCCTGGCCCAGGCAACTGGGAGGATGTAGGGATGGATGGAATCCATTTAGGTTCAAGACAGGTTGTTTTTTTCATGGCAAGGGTTTTAAAAGACCAGCTTGGGGAGAAAAAGCGTTCTGAGACCCTCAGAATGACATCAAGGGACATAGTGAATGGGATTGCAAAGGATGTTTTCTTACTCTCTTGTGGTTGTTTCAAGTCTCCTGGTACCAGACCTGGTGTGAGAAGAGGAAATGTACAGTGAGAAATCAGGCAATTGTCCTTATCTGGTCTGTGCTGAATTCATTTTGTTGCTGGCAAAGCTCAGCCTTCGGGAGATGGTTCTGAAGGTCCCTTACCTGCAGGAGGCAGGGATGTTGCAGCTTGTGGTTCATCTAAATACTTCAAATCCCCCTGTTTTTACTTGTAACTGTGACATTAATGGTCATTGCAAAGCCACAAGCACGACCTGGTGGCATGAAACTCCCTTTTCTTTCTCCAACAAAAAGGAGCAGCACCCACCAACCGTGCCTTATAAATATTCAGAGTGCAGTTTGTAGGAATGTGAGACAAAGCCAGACAGATGAATTATTTAATGCTTTTAAAGATTGCAGCTTGCAGTTCCTCCTTGCACTGGCCTCCTTTAGTGCAGCAGTGAAGTGATCTTTAGTAAATTAATTTCCCTCCTCTTGTTGCAGTGGGCACCGCTGGTGGAAGCCTCCATCCATGAGCAGATGCCAGGGCACCTCCATAGCTCTGGAATTGGGTGTTGAGTGTTGAGGGTCGAGTTCCTGCTATTTATCTGGTGCCTTTTGATTTGCTTTAGTACATCCAACACTGGTGGAAAGCAGAGGGTTAGTAGTTTTAATGGACAGCCTGTGAATGGTGGTGGTGCGGCACTTCTGAGCTGCTTTTGGGACAGCCCATGGAAGTGGGTGTCAGGGAGACCTGGACACGTGCTGTAAGGGGGTTTTGGGAATCTTCCCTGTTTCGTGGTAAATAAGAGGCTGAGAGGGCTCATACCAAAGGTGGCTCCCCACTGGCTTCATACTAAGACACTAACAGCATCAAGATCCCATCCCTTGGACTGGACCAAACCCTTGTCATGTCCCAGGTCTGGCCACAGAAAAGCAGAGTGACAACCATCCACCGCCCAGTGATACTACAACAAGTCACCAGCCATTCCGCACAGCAGCAAGGGGTTAATTTGGAGAACCTGCCTAAGAAAGGAACACTAAATCCACTCCAAAATATCCAGCTACGGCAAGGATGGGACATGCAGTCCTGTGACAAGGGGGAATGGCTTTAACCTGCCAGAGGGGAGACTGAGATGAGCTCTTGGGCAGCAGCTCTTCCCTGTGAGGGTGCTGAGGCGCTGGCACAGGGTGCCCAGAGAAGCTGTGGCTGCCCCATCCCTGGCAGTGTTCAAGGCCAGGTTGGACACAGGGGCTTGGAGCAACCTGCTCTAGTGGAAGGTGTCCCTGCCCGTGGCAGGGGTTGGAACTGGATGAGCTTTAAGGTCCCTTCAACACAAACCAGTCTGTGATCCTGTAATTCCCATGTAGGCTTTGGTGGATGCAAATGCATCCTCAGAGCACCAGTGGAGTTTTCCCTGGGTTTGTGTTGAGCCTGTGCTCATCAGCCAGTCAAGTCAGCTATTATCACATTAATAAATATCCCTGCTTGTTTGCATGCTGGTGGAATGTGTGCTGCAGTAAGAGCTGATGGGTCCTTGGGGAAATAACATCAGATGCTGTCAGAGCTGCCAGCTGGGAGGGGAATTGGATTGGAACCTGCCAAACTGGGAACATTCCAGTGGGTCCATCCACACGGCACCCTTCCAGTTAGTAAAAGCAGGGACTTTCCCGTTCTACATGGTGGTGTAGCAGCATTACAGTAAATACTCCTGGAGAAATATGTCCAAAAATGCTCTCTGGGCTAGTTTGAAGTGTGAAAAGTTCCTGCTGTGAAGACTGATGTTCTCTCTTTGTCTCTCTCTTGTTTTTTACTCTTGCATTATATAGTTTTCTACTAGTTTTCTCCTGCCTGGTGCTGTCAGTCTTTTCGACCATTGATGAGTACCAGAACAGCTCAGAAGGGGCCCTTTACATCCTGGTAAGTGAGAGGTTGCAAATGAAGTTGTCAGTGAGGCATTAAAACGAAGTCAGAACAGCACAAAACCCTGAGGTTGGGGGTGTTTAACTGAGGCAAGAATTTAAACTGTCTCTTGTGAGAAGGGGACCACTGGGACCTGGAGGGAAGAAAAAGGAGGAATGTGAAAAGGAGGAATCTGTGTCAGGAATAAACTAAAAATATTTTTAAGGAGCATTTAAAACTCTTCTTCCTAAACTTTTCCTTTTATCTGCGTTTATCTTCAATGGCAAAAAACTGACCCCGACTGAAAAGCACTTTGATGTCAAGCAGCTCCCAGTGTTAAAGCTGCAGATGCTCTCCTTAGGGAGCAGCTTGTGTAGCTGCCTCCTCTCCCACACTACAGCATCCCTGCAACTATTTGATCCTCAAGCTGCAGAGTTTAGTTCCTTAAATAGCCTGGCATTCCTCACACTGGCAACGTGGCTTCTGCCATTGGGAGCCAGCAGAGATCCTGCACACACCATCGGGCTGCCAGACCCACGTGTCCCCTTTCCTTTTGTCTGGCTCCTTCCTCAGTCCCTGCCCTACATTGACATCAAAAGGTGCTGCAAACTCATTAGGGCTTCGTCAGGTTTGACGCATAAAACTGAGGTATGAGCTGATAGTAAAGAAGTCAGAGGGAAGGGAGCATGTGGAGGGTGTTCTGGTGGTGATGGATGGAGCTGCGATGCACAGCATCAGTGTGCTCACTGGGCATTGAGGCGTAGAGGATCCACACCCACTGCACCAGACAGGCCAGCACACAAACAGCCTGATTTTATAGGGAAAAAGCTCAAATTCCCTGCAGAGATTCTTAGGATGGAGCAGCCGGTGATTCCCGTCTCTGGTCTTCCTTCCCTGTGCTGCTCAGCATTAACCTAGTCAAGTCCTGGGGACGAATGGTGGGGAGATAAACAGCTACTCCTCAAATATAAACACAATATGTTGTAAAGCTCTAGTTCATGGCTACAACATGCAGTACCTCTCACCACCCCAGGGGAGGGCGAGGGAAGATGTGACAGTGATTCAAGCCTGGGCTCTCCAGCAGTGCAAACAGCTCTGTGATGTGTTTTGGGGTGTCTGAAAGTCAGGCTGTGGGTTTGTGCTCAATTCCAGAGCCTGCTCCCCATGGTGCATCTTTCTCCACTAACAGCACTGTCTTCCTTGCAGGAAATAGTCACCATCGTGGTGTTTGGGGTGGAATACTTCGTGAGGATCTGGGCCGCCGGCTGCTGCTGCCGATACCGGGGCTGGAGAGGGAGGTTGAAGTTTGCCCGCAAGCCTTTCTGTGTCATCGGTAAGATGAACAGGAAATATTCTGACGGAGCTTTTAAAACCCTTCTTCCTAAACTTTTCCTTCTGTCTGCATTTATCTTCAGTGGCAAAACACTGATCCCGACTGAAAAGCACTTCGATGTCAAGCAGCTCCCAATATTAAAGCTGTGGATGCTCTCCTTAGAGAGCAGCTTGGATGTGTTTGTTGTACCCCAGGCACCGCTGACAACTGCCCACAGACATGGGGAGGGGGTTTAGCCAGGAGAAGCTGAGTGTAGGAGCTGGGATCCTGCAATCCTGCATCCAACCTCAACACTGGATCACTTAGAAGCCGTTGATGTCTGTATGCATCTCACTTTGCCTTCCCCAGTGCTGATGAGCTGCCCCACAAGGGAGTTATGAGACTTAATTAATTCCTGTTCGTAATGTGCTTGGTGATCCTCTTGTGAGAGGGGCCATCTGTGCACAGCAGTTATTTGTAATGGGGTAAGGAATGGGCAGAGAGGCTGTGCCATTCCCTATGGAGCCTGCTTTCAGATGTCCAGGGCCAGCAGAGGTCATATGCAGGATTTTAGCTTATTCCACACAAATACACTCCTATAAAACTTGCATAGAAAAACTAGAGAAAGAGGAAAGTTTTCAGGATCTTTTGAATTTGAGATATATAGACTGAGGCTTTTTTTTTCTTGGACTTCCTTTGTCTTTGAGCACCCTCTGATGCTATAGTGGACCTCTAGATTTTCACTCCTGGTTTAGATGGGGAATTCATACCTCTAGACAGCTCTGCAGCTGATTAAAAAAGGGCGTGCATTTTGTGAGGATTTAATCCAGTTTTAACGGTGTTAACTCAGAATCATGTAAGAATTTGAGCTTTACAGTATTTGACTGATTTTCTGTGGGAGCGATGAGTGTGGAGAAGGAAACCAGGATGTTCCCATAAGGTGTGTAGTGGCTCCTTTCATCCAGGTTAAGACCGATGCTGTGTCCTTCCAGCACAAGGTATAACTGATAGAAGACCACTTCCACACAGAGCCTTCTGCTACAGTGGCAGTAGGAGTTGCCATCCCATTTGGTAGGGGGTCAGGAGCCTTCCTTCAGCTTTCAATGCCCTCTCTTCGTGCAGACATCATGGTGCTGATTGCATCCATCGCCGTGCTGGCGGCAGGATCCCAAGGGAATGTCTTCGCCACCTCAGCACTCAGGAGTTTAAGGTTCCTGCAGATCCTGCGCATGATCCGCATGGACCGGCGGGGCGGCACATGGAAGCTCCTGGGCTCTGTGGTCTACGCACACAGCAAGGTGAGCAAGTCCCCAGCAAGGACATTGAGCTGCTCTTCATGCTTTCCCCCCACCAAAGACACTGCTTTGGTTCAGTTTTCCGTCCCAAACATCTCCCAGACCGTGGGGGATTGGAAAGATGCTGTAGGTAGCACAGGGAGCAATGCAAAGTCAGATACATAAGGTCTGATGGAGCTTATGTAAAGGAGAGAAGGGAGAGATGCTGAGATGTTTGCAGGAAATATCTTGAATGTAGAGACCACCTGCACACTGATACAGCTCATTTCAGAGGTAGCAATTAGCAGCAGCCTCATTAAGCACATATGGTGTTGTGAGCTCTTTGCCCAGGATGCACTTCAGAGTGGATGTGTTTCTGAAAGCCCATACCGCGAGCAGCAGCCTCTCACAGACACACTGAGTGCCTCTTCCCAATGTAGGATCACAGACCAGTGATAGAACAATCCCTGCTATAAGGCACCTTGGCTTTGGGAAGAGTTTGCCAATTGGGTTTTTCTGTTTCCTGCTGCCAAATACGTGAATTTAACATTTCTCCTGTTTCCTGCACTTTTCCCCCTGAAAGCTTTTGCCAGCTTATCCAGAACTGAGTAAAAATCACAGGGAATTCGTGGATGCCTTTTGCTCACCCTTGTATTAACTTCATCCTAAAATCCTGTGAATTCTGACTTAAAGCTTCCCTGAAACTGGGGGATATTGTACCCAGATCCCAGCTTTGTAACTTTTCCCCAGTTAGTGGAAGGAACCTGCCCTAAGCAGTTCCCAGGGATCTGGGGGATCCCATTTCAGTTTTAACCCCACTTGCTTGGGTGAACTGGAGAAACTGGTTTATTTTCTCTTTAGTCTCAGTTCCACATCTTGAAATAATGAAGCTATTATGGCTCCATTTCCTTCTCCGTTTGCTGTGTGTGTTTAGATGATGGGCATTGCCCTCTGTGCGTTAGCATCTCCAACCAAAGCCTAAAGTAATGCAGGCAAAGTTCAGCTCTAACCACAAGCAATGCAGCGTTTGGAGATAGATGCATACCAGGATTGCAGTTATTCTCTTCTATCCCTTAATGTTCTTGCAGGAGCTGATTACTGCCTGGTATATTGGCTTCCTGTGCCTCATTCTGGCCTCTTTCCTGGTGTATTTGGCCGAGAAAGGAGAAAATGAGCACTTTGATACATACGCAGATGCACTCTGGTGGGGTCTGGTAAGTGATTTTCATAGAGCAGCTGCTGGTTATTAAATGTCCATTAACCCTCCAGCTTCTATCGTTTACGTGAGGAATCGACTTAGGGATTAGTTAACATTTCTATTAAATGGCTTCAGGCTGCTTAATTTAGCTCTTCTTAAATAAACCTCATAGAAAATGTTAAGAGATCACATTCCTTGAATTGCCTGGAGCTGCAAGGAAACTGGGAACTCGTGTGCTCCCAGTCGTGGGATTTAGCTCTGTCGTGACAGTACAGACAGGTCGGATAAAGACCCCACGGGTGCTTTGATCATCATTTTGACATATATTTAAAACTGAATTAGTTAAAATGATCCTTGGGTAACGCACTGTTAAAGACACTGCAATAAATGTTATAAAATTAATAGGATCTAAGTACCAGAAAGACTTCAGCACTGAAAGCTCTTCCCTTTCACATCTGTGCTGACAGAAGAGGAAAGGGCAGTACTTCTGGTTTGCTCTGGGGGTGCGTGTGCATGTGAATTATTGGATTACCCGATTAACAAAGAGAATTAATGACGTTCTAATCTTCTTGTGTTATTGTTCTTCTGCTCCGACACTGTGGCGCTGGTTTGGCCTTGATTACAAAGCAAGGAATGAAAAGCCCAGATCTGATCAAATCCCAATAACAGGCTTGGGGTGGAATCGGCTGATCAAGCAGCTCCTCTGTACCAACAAAGGGAATGAAGCAGTAAATTGCTTTTCAAGGCCCTTGGTTATGACAGGAAAAACAAAAACAAAGCCCCATTTGACATAACTAGCAAATAAACAAGGAGGAAGAAGTGACAGCCCAGATTAGAGCTCTGTCTTGGGAGAAGCATGTGCAGATTTAGCCCTCCTGCTTCAAGGCTGCACAAGCCTTTGGCAGAGGATCACCACTCCCTGTTTCAGGATGTGGAGGTGACTGCGGTGCCACTGAGAAGCTCAGAGTAAAACTGGAGTTCCATTAAGATAAATAGGTGTTGTCATTGTCCAGCTCCTGGGTGCAGTACAGGCAGATGTTAAGCGACGAGTAAAATTAAGTTTCAGGTTCAGGAACTTATCCCTTGATCTGATCTTGATGGATCCAATCCTTGTAGTTGTCTAGATAAACTAGGAAGAATTTGTAAACCAACTTTGCAGTGATTATGGAGAGAGCATTGCTTTGACTTTGTGTTTCATTCAGGAGTAGCCATGCAGCTGCATTTTCCAACCACTTTGTCAGACTGGCATCTAACTGGTAGGGCTTTTAGTGGGTCCAATTAAACAGTGCTTTGGGATAGTTCTTCCATTGGTGTAAAAGTGATTTTATTCTAAGCTGAATGTGTGAGGTTTATAGAGCTACATCAGCACAGTGTCAGCTCCATCCCTGGGGCCGGCTCTGTCCATGGAGGTTATGGGATAGGGACAACTTCCCACTTGGCACAGCGGGGTCCGGTTTGGGCAGATGTATCCAAGATGTTCCTAATCAGATCATCTCTCCCTGCCAGTCCCAGGCTCTCCAAATCCTCTCAGAAGCCCTGGGGGATACCCAACATAGACTCACAGACTGGTTCATGTTGGAAGGGACCTTAAAGCTTATCCAGTCCCAACCCCCTGCCATGGGCAGGGACACCTTCCACTAGAGCAGGTTGCTCCAAGCCCCTGTGTCCAACCTGGCCTTGAACACTGCCAGGGATGGGGCAGCCACGGCTTCTCTGGGCACCCTGTGCCAGCGCCTCAGCACCCTCACAGGGAAGAGCTTCTGCCTCAGAGCTCATCTCAATCTCCCCTCTGGCAGGTTAAAGCCATTCCCCTTGTCCAGCCCCTGCAGGCCCTTGTCCAAAGCCCCTCTCCAGGTTTCTTGTTGGCCCCCTTAACATACTGCACATTTCCTGCTAGTCCAAAATGCAGTGGGAAAATGCATCTTTTCCTGCAATTTGAAATTCAGAAGATTCATTGTCTCCAACAAATCTCTCTGCTCCTTTCCCAAAACACACAGCAACTTGTCAGCATTCTTTTGGTGCATTGCAATAGTACTGAGGAGGGGAAGAAAAAAACATCCCTAAATTAGGTTGCATGAAACAGCCATAATTCGTCCTGTCGGCATAATATGCTGTTTTTGAATAGGAAGGGAGACTGGCTAGTAGGCACTGCTGGGAAAATTGGGAATAAACAGCATCAGATCTTTCTGCATGCAGTTAGCTCTTGTCTTCTGTGTGGTGCCAAAAGGGAATTTGGGGGAATGGTGCCGGTTTGCTTCCCCTGCTGAAGGCACAGCCCTATCTCCCGGGGGAGTCCTGTCGGCATAATATGCTGTTTTTGAATAGGAAGGGAGACTGGCTAGTAGGCACTGCTGGGAAAATTGGGAATAAACAGCATCAGATCTTTCTGCATGCAGTTAGCTCTTGTCTTCTGTGTGGTGCCAAAAGGGAATTTGGGGGAATGGTGCCGGTTTGCTTCCCCTGCTGAAGGCACAGCCCTATCTCCCGGGGGAGGCTCTGAGCTGCCGCAAGCCTCTGCACCAGCTGGCAGCTCTCTGTGTCCGCTGAAGGCAAGAAAATGCTCCCAACTGGTGTGAAAACTCCGTGTATTGAGGAGGAAGGCGGCAGCGCTGTCCCGGGCATCGGGATATCACTGCTTCCCGCAGAGGTGCCCATCATAGACTGGGTTGGGTGGGAAAGGACCTTAAAGCTCACCCAGCTCCAACCCCTGCCCCGGGCAGGGACACCTTCCACTAGAGCAGGTTGCTCCAAGCCCGTGTGTCCAACCTGGCCTTGAACACTGCCAGGGATGGGGCAGCCACAGCTTCTCTGGCAGCTGGGGTCCTCCTGGGTGCCTGAGCTGCACCTCGACTTGGTCAGCTCATGGCACATGGTGACCGTGGGTCCTCTGCATCCCACTCTGATGTTGGAGAAGGTTTGTGTGGGTTCAGTTCTACATCTGACCAAGGGCTGTGGGGTGTTCTCCTCCCTGCAGATTACTCTCACCACCATTGGCTATGGGGACAAGTACCCCCAGACCTGGAACGGGCGGCTGCTGGCGGCTACGTTCACCCTCATCGGCGTCTCCTTCTTTGCCCTTCCTGCTGTAAGTGGGGGCTGCAGCATCTTGCTGGGAGGGGGTTGACCTCGGCCCACGTTGTCCCCAGCCCCTGGAGCTGGTGGCAATACAACAGCCACATCCAGTGGCATGATGCACCCAGAGATCTCCTGTCTGTGATAGCTCTGTGGCTTTTGGGTCAAAAAAGGGAGAAGAAGGGAAACCCTGCCTGAGTACTCGCAGATTGGGCACTTTGTCTCTGAGCAAACAGGATGGAAACTCCAGATTTGGCTCTGCACAAGTATTTGTTTGAAGCAAAACGATTTTTATCATGCAAAGGGTTGTTCCTAGAGGTGATGATGCCATTTCAGCAAATTATCCCCATCCCTTTCACAGTGCGCTTCAATGTGTTGCACAAATCTGATTTTCCCCTATGTGGATAACATGCTGGATGCCAGCAAGGTGGGGTTATTTTGTGTTCTATCAGCTGGCTGGAGGTGGTTTGGGAAAGCAGCAATTCCAATGAGCACCAGCCAAATCTGCTGGTAAGTAGTGCATTGGCCAGGGCTCCTTCTTCCTTCCCCAAGACATCTGCAGCAGCAAATGACCCAGAACAAGCCCTTGGAGGGGAAGCTGGGTGCAGTGTTTAAGTGAAAGCTTAACAAGCACCCTGCTAACTGCAAATGTTTGTTCTCTTCCCCAGGGCATCTTGGGTTCGGGGTTTGCTCTGAAGGTTCAAGAGCAGCATCGGCAAAAACACTTTGAGAAGAGGCGAAACCCAGCAGCGGGCCTGATTCAGGTGAGGATCACATGCAAGGAGCCTTGGGGGTACCTCATCCTGGTTTTGGGGGTGTTAATAGTCTTTCTGGTGTTGGGGAGGAGACAGGCAGGTGAAAAATGAGCTGTATGTGTAAGGTGTGAGACAGCTGGTGACTAGTCTTGTGTGGGAATAAATGCCAGGAAATCAGCCTTGGAGAAATAACATAAGTGGCAGGAAAAACAACAAAATCCAGCCCAGCACAGTGAGACAAACACATTAGGACAGTCTGGTTTTACCCAACTTTTTTCCCCTTCCCTCCCCACTAAAGAGAACATTTATACTAATATAAAGTTACAATTGGGAGCATTTTCTTCGTGGTAACAGATGTCTGCGCAGAAGGTTGGTCTTGGTGTGTATCTTGGAGATGTGAAATTAGTCATTTTACATTCCCCTGCTCCTTTCTCTCCACATTTTTTAACTCCCTGATGGGCAGCAAAACCTATTTGATACCTGACTTCAACCTGACAGCGAGTGCCTGGTGCCTGCAGCACTTTTAGCTGGGCTCATATAGTCATGATACTCCATGGTACCACCCCAGATCCGTCATGTATCAAACCAAGGAAAAGGAAATAGGTCAGACCCATCCCACAGCAAACAGAGGGAGGACTTGGTGGTGGCCAAAGGCTATAAAACAAAGGGCAGTGCTGCCCATCCCTGGTTCACAGTCCCACCATGTCCCCTCCACAGGCGGCTTGGAGATTTTATGCCACTAACCTGTCCCGGACGGACCTGCACTCCACTTGGCAGTACTACGAGCGCACCGTCACCGTCCCCATGTACAGGTACCTCCTCCTCCCTCTTCCACCTCCTTCCTCGTGACACCACTGTCTCCATCTTTATTTTTGTTCTCTGGTTATACAGTTTCATTTATTACCTATTTTTTGGTTGAAAAGGTTGATTTCAAGAGCTGGGATATGCTTTTTCTTTTGGAGTTGTTTTGCTTTGTGGTTGGTTTTGTGCATTTCTTTTTGACTTGATTTTAATTTCCCTGTTGATTTTTTTCTTTCTGTGTGTGTGTACATGCTCTTCTTTTCACCTTTATTTCTCCACGGCCGCTGGTAGTTGCGTGTTGTTGTGACAGTTGCCGTGCCCAGGGGTGAAGATCTCCCTCCCGAGCTGCTCTGGATCGTAGGTAAACGCCGTCCTCGCCCTATGTGCAGCTCCTCTCACCCACTCGGGCTCTCCTTGCAGCTCCAGCTGGTCTCTTATGGTCCTTCTGCCTTTCAGCAAACTTGTGTCCCAGCACTTTCCCTGGGTGCATTTGCCCTGGATCCCCCCTTTCCATTCCTTCTTTTTTCTCTAAGAGGAGGAAAAACAAATCAGGATTCAGTGAGCGTTTTCCCATGTCTTGCATTTCATTTATCCGCCACAAGCAAGGCCAGGTTGGACAAGGCTTGGAGTAACCTGCTCTAGTGGAAGGTGTCCCTGCCCATGGCAGGGGGTTGGAACTGGATGAGCTCTAAGGTCCCTTCCAACCCAAACCAGGCTGTGATTCTATGATCTGCTGACACAAGTAGGGAAGGACGGTGGAGCCGTGATGGATAAAGCTGAAAAAGCAGCGTTGTGTTTTAGAAGCATCCATCTCCCGTGCTTTAAGGAGAGGTAACTCGTCATCATACCCAGGCAGCTTTTTCAGCTGATACAACACAGATTAGAGCAGTGTTCTGGGAATTCACAGCCTCTTGGGATTTGGAGCTTATTGGAGATGGGGCAGAGTTTCCTGCCATGCCTCGCTGCCCTCTGGGACGCGGGGAAGCGATGCATCCCCCCTGTCATTCTCATGGTTGGTGGCATTGAGGTGTGGAGGCTTCTCCAGAAGCAAAACGTTGTTGTTCATTTTCCACTCCACACTGTCTGCATCCCCTTCTGGCATGTTTTTAGGAACTAGTCACGTTGTTGTGGTCAGTAACTTTTCATTGGATTCATTCCCAGTGTGTGTCTGATTGCTTTTTTCCCTAGAGATTTATGAACCAGCTTCAAGATTTTGCCTAAAAAAAAACCCCAAAACCAAACAACCACCCAACAAAACAGAGCAAAGCTGTTTCCCAATAGCGCTGATCTCACCCATTGAAACTCCCCCATCTCACTGCACATTAGCAGCACTGGCTGTGATCAGCTACTAGAGAGAATGAGGATGGAGCCTGGTCCAAAATCCACTGCAAACTGCAGGAAGCCAGGGGTTGATTTCAGTGGACTTTGCTGGGTTTTACTGCTCTTTGAAAGACTGAACTTACCACGCAGCCAGACATAGAGGAACACCCTTTTGCTACCTAATCCACTTGTTAAAACCTGTATTTCCCATGGAGTGACTGCATAGGAAGAAAAGCTAAAGAGCTGCAGAAGAGCCTAACTAAAAGCTTTGATGAGGAAAAAGGACAGAAACATAGTTTGGTGAAGAGCCCAGCTCTCCTGAAGGAAAAGCCAGGACCAAGTCGTAGCAGGATGGCAGCAGTTATACTGGTTGGGTGCTGCTCCCAGGGTCAGTCCCAAGCAACAGCATCACCCTGGGCTTCCCTAGGCACAGGTTTCTCTACTCTCCCAATTTCCCCTTTAAATCCCAACTCCTGTGTGTGTGCAGGTAAAGTGAGCATCACCTGGGCGAGTGAGCCATGGGTGCACTGATGGATTCAACTCTTGGTCAAATTGGGTCTTTTTACCAAGAAAGCAGTGAGCTTCTTTTGAATATATTTTGGATGCAGTCAGATAAATCAGGGAAAAAATTAAAAATGGGGTAACTGTATGTTCTGGCTGCAGCTTCCATCAGTCACACTGTGCATCTATCCTTGTCTACCCACTTCACTAAGCCAGCTCTGCACTGGTGCAGCTGTAGCAGCACGTCAAGCCCAGTGCCGCATTAAGGCGATGGCTGCAGACATGTGGCTGCAACACAGAGCATGATTAGGAAGTGGGTTGGAGGAAACACAGTATCCCCGTGTCCCTCCAGGGTGCCGGGGCATGATCTGTGATCATCACTACATTGGCACCCTTTCTGCTCAACACTGGGCTGCTTATTCCTCATAGCAGGAGCCCTGTGACTTGAGCTTACTTGTTTTCCCAAGGCATCTCCGAAATGACTGGCTGCTCGATATGAGGAAATCATTGCACATGCCTTGGAGGAGCTCACGTGTCTCCAGAACATCACTCAAATCATTGCAGTGGAGCTGGTCTCACTCGTTTGGGGAAAATAAGGTGGCCTCTTGAGAGGAGTTTGGATTTCATCTTGAAATTCAAAATGTGGTAGAACCAAATCTGAAATAAGCACAAGGCTGCTGTATGTACAGGTGGTGTAATGCTCCCAGACATCATGACCTGTTCTGCACCAGCCACTGGATTTGCTGGATAAAGAACTGTTGTTTATTGTTACTAGTGAGAACAGGGCCTTGATCTAAACCACATTCATATATTGGCCTTCACTAAAATACCCCACTGGCACATCCAAGCCAGCAGCTCAGCTCAAGGGGTCCCTGGCTGATGGGGCCAAGGGCTTTGGATGTCCCATGAAAGGCCTCTTGGTGGCCCCCTTATTTTCCCTGCTCTTTGGTGCTCATTTGCTTTCAGAATGAGGTATCAACTGCCTGTCCCCAAGGGTGACGTGAGGGTGTCACGGGCGCTCTGAGCAAGCTCAGCACATGCTCCGTGCTCACCTCTAAGCCTGGTTCATATGCTAATTTTCTTTATTCTGTTTCTTTTCCCCTTTCCTCCACCCCACCTTCCCCCCATCCCTGTTTTTCTTTCTCTTATCCCTTTGGTTTTCTTGGGTGAAAACACTTGAAAAGCACGCAAACGCAAACGTACGGTGCCTCCAGGTATGAAGTGCATGTGACTCTGAAACTGTGTGTCATGTCACTCCTTGTTCTTCGTTTGGGACTGTAACATGCAAAGCCTTTAATTACCAAAAAAGTGAAGGAAAGGAAAAAAAGAAACTCTGAAGATCAGTTTATTCAAAGGAACGAGTGAAAGCCCAACCCAGACTCCCCATCCAGCTGCCTACAGACTAACCCTATGCACCTCCATGTATGTTTTAGCTATTGGTACACACGTGTTGGGAAACCATCTGCCAAAATGATGATTTAAGGAAGGAGAATGGGAGAGTGCTTGATAAGCTTGGTGTTTTAAGGATTGTTTTGTGATGGTCTTACCAATCTCCTCTGATTCATACGATGTTTAACAAGAAAACATCCCTGTCCATACTCCCATTTTCCCTCTGCCATCGCTCCTGCATGTTCCCCTTTCTCCAGCTCTCTGCTCCCGTCCTTCTTTGTGTCATTTGTCTCAGTCCATGCTGCAGGAGCTGTGCCCACAAGGTAGTGCTTGGTTTGCTGAACTGGCTGGGTGGTGGCGCCATAGGATGCATCAGTGGTAGCATGGAATGAAATCACAGCAGCAGCTGTGCCTGATTTGAGAACAACATCTGGGAGAGAAAGAGGTTGGACCAGATGGTCCAATCCAGTCTGAGGTTGGACCAGATGATCCTTGGGGTCCCTTCCAACCTGGTATTCCATGAATACTAAAGTGAAATGATCATTTATTTCTTCTAGTAAACCAGTCTGAATTTTGGGAAAGGGATGTTCCATTTCAACAGGACTTTTCCATTTCAGTAGGACTTTTCCATTTCAGTTTTTTTCTTCCAGATCTAAAGCAAGCCCCAGTTATTCAATCTGGGACATAACCTTTTGGGATTAATCAAAATGGAAAGACCTATACATGGCTGTGTAAGATTTATGATAAATAATATTATCTTGGGTTCTGCAGAAAAGAGTAGATTTGAAAATCACAGGCATATTTTGGATGAGGTTGGTGTCTGAAGGTGTAGTCAAGTCAGTGTATTAAGATGGGGAATAAATAGCTTGCATTTCAAGACTGGGGGCCAACCTCTGTTCTTAGAGCAGTTTAAATCCTCTCTAGATGCATTAATGCTCTTAAAACTGATGTGATTTAGCACCTGATTTCCAAACCTGGTTCCAGTTTTCACAGATGCAAGTTTTACAGCCTTAGTAAATCACGCTTAACCACTTGGTGGGGTTAATTTACAGCAAATTGCATCAATGAATTGCATTCATAATATTTTGAATGTACTTTCCTGTTGTGCTGAATAACAGCCTGTTATGAGAATTGGACATTTTAATGCTGCTGGGACTGAAGTAAGAATGTGCCATTTCCATCCATTTCTTATAATAAAGTAGTTTGCAAATTTCATAAAAGTCCTTAGTTATGAAAAATAGCTTAGGCTGGAGACGTCAAGTCATTATTAGGGTAAAAACTGGCTCCTCGTAGGAACTCCAGCACAGCATGGAGGCTCATTTATGTCCCCATCCCATTCCAGCATCCATCTCCTTGTCACCCTCTTCCTAATCTTCATACTGGGGCTGTTCAAAGTCGTCCTCCTCATCTCTGTGCGTGTCGTGGTGCGCGTGTGGTTCTGTGTACGCTCCCACCCTCTGTTGCGTGCTGCTCCCTCCATGTGTTGTGGGGTTTGGATGATGTCCTGGCTGGAGGCATGATATCCCTACTGTCCCCAAGTGCTTGAACGTTATCTGTGCTACCAGGAATAGCCGATTTGCCTTCCCTTTGGATAGGGGAGCTGGAGGTAGTGTGGTGTTTGTGCTGTGCTGGGCAGGGTGGTGGAATCCGGCGAGTTGGAAGCGTTGCTGTGGTGTGTAGCATGAGCTGTGTGTGTTCCCGTGGCGTGCAGATCTTCTCACCTAGCTCCCCTTTAACTGGAACATGCTTCCCTTGCTAACAAGTGACACATGGACCAGGAGGAGAGAGAGAAAACCTGAGATGTCCCAGCCCAGAGGTCCGTTCTACATGTCTCTGGAGGACACGGTGGCACACAGGGGTGCAGGGTGCCCTCCGTCAGTGTTTCATAGCAAAGCTCAGCTGAAGTGCTGAGCAGAGCCCTGCCTTTTCTCTGAGGTTCTGGTGAAATGGTGCAATGCAGTAGCTGCTCCCCAAGCTGCTCTTGTAATGACAGGTTAGGCTGAGTGTTTGATTCGGATGGAATTTCAGGTCAAGTATGTGGATGAGTTTACACCCATTTTTAATAATAGTTTCAGTAAAATACTAGGCATTTTTCCACCCATCGTCCTACCACAGAAACAGGGACTCTCTGTTTCCTTCTGTGTCTTTTTACCTTTGCATCGAAGCATCTGTGGTGGCCCAAGAGATGGCCACCTTCAGCACAGTGTAGACCTGTTTTATGCAAAGGAAGGAGCTCCTTTTGGGATCCCAAATCCTTCAATCTAGTGAGCTAATGAGCTCTGAGACTTGCATTGGTGGGAGGCCTGGGTTTGTGATCCTGGCTAGAGGAAGCGGGGCTGTTATCCTGGGTATGGAGCTCACTGAGATCCTAATGCACCAAAGTTGTGCACCCTCCATTAGCTGCTAAGAACACTTTGTGCTTGATTTTATACACCCATCTTGGAAGGAATCTGCCACCCCTGTGGTGGGTTTGAAGGGAGGAGACAGCCCAGGACTTGTGTGCTGCTCCACTGCACCAAGGTCAGCTTCCTCCTGACTTCTCGAGTGAAGAGAATCATTAATTCATCAGATCAGGATGTGCTCTCTGCATGGCAGCAAACAGAGCTGGCCTGGGGAGCAGAGCCAAAATTTTCAGGCCTATTTTTACTCTTTTCTCCATTCTTAGGATTGGAAAATGTTCTGATTGCCTCAATCTTGTGAGCACCAAGTCTGCTCTGCTGAACAACTGGGGGTTTTTTTGAGGATGAGTTTCATGATGCAGAGGAAAGGCTTTTCCAGTTGGGGTTTTTGTTCAGTTAGAGGAAAACTCTGAAACTATTAGTTTCATAATGGCTGAAAAAACATGGGCATGAATCTCTCTGCCTTTATTTTACAGTAAGCAACAACGCTTCAGCCAAGACCAGTCTGCGAGCACTTGTGCTCCTTTCCTTCCAGTCCAAAGCTGCTGTTTTGGACCAGTTTGAGTCATTCTTGCTTTCAGACCTTGGTGGTTCATTTTCCAGCAGAACCATAAGTATACATTGCCTTGGGGTTGTGGCTCTTTGGGCTCCATGGACTTAGTTTGACAAGGGCGCGCTGGTGGCCTAGAAAGGATTTTGCAGCAAGCCATGGGATGAGCTCCATTGGCCTTGAGCCTGAATGCAGAGTCCCCAACTGAGCTCTTAAGTAGGTGCTGCTCTTCTCAACCATGTTGAGATGAGTTCTCCATCCTCCCCCCAACACCTCCAGCTCATATCTCCCTTGGTTAAAAACCTGTAAACATCAATGTCAAATATTCATGGAGCAAGCCCCAGTCTCCCAGAGCCTGAGGGAAGAAACCAGATGTGGATGTGGGAGCTAATTCAATGGCACAAAAGCAGGATAGGTGAGAGGGTGTTTCTTCATTTATTTTACTTTTTAATTAACCAGGATTCCCATTGTCAGGTTCTTCCTAAGAATAGAAGGAAATCCATCCCTTCTAGAATGCAATGATACGTGGTTTTGCCTCATTTTGGGGCAAAACCTGGTATGGACAGTAAGGAATTGATTGAACTTGACCCCAGAATGCACTGCTCCCAATCTCTGGTCCCTGTTTTCTCTGCCCCGTAAGCTGCTCCTTTCCATGCCTCCCACATTGCCAGGAGCAGCAGGGTTGAGTTTTCCCATTTGCCTCCGAAACTGGAGCTTCTCTCCACTTAATAAGAGCCAAAGTGCTGACCTCCACACAGAGCAATGCCAACTGATAGACTGCACGTGGTGAACCAGCTCTCCTGCCAAAACACCATGATGCTGCTCAGAACCCCTGGCAGCCGCCTGTGTTTTGGGACCTTCCAAATCCAGTGGTGCAGACAAGTTTCTCTCTCTCTTTGCTGTCACCCTTTCTCTCTTTCCCCACCGCTCTGCCTTAGGACACTGTTGGAAGTAGCAGCCAAACCCCTCTCCATCCTTCCCGAGCTGTCTCCCAGTTGCGCTTGGTGGCACTAAGCTGGTTCTAGCTGAAAGGATGGGGCAGCAGGGGAAGTTTCCAAGATGGGAGGCTCTGAAGTCAGCTCTGCTCGGATATTAATGGTCTTCATTTTCTCCCTCCAGACTAATCCCTCCTCTGAACCAGCTGGAGCTCCTGAGGAACCTGAAGAGCAAATCGGGACTGACATTCAGGTTAGCAGCAGAGTTAAGCGAGCTTGGAAAGCACACACTTTGCAACCTTTTCCTTTTGTTTTGTTTTCTTTTTTTCCTTTTTGCTTTAGTTTATTTTTCCTTTCTGCCTTTTGCATATGGACAGCCTCGAAGATGTGAGAGGTTTTGGCGGCTGGTCCCCCATGGGTTGTTCAGTGACCTCCTCCCCATCCCTCTCCCATGCTATACATGACTTTCTTCAGCCTAACTTGGCTCTGGAGTAATGCTGCAGTGCTTGTTTGAAAACACAAAGTTGTATTTACAAAGGGTCTGATTGAGGTAGTGTTCCCAGTTTTCCTCTGACCTTTATATTCTTCACCACCCTCAGAGAAGACTCAGGCCCATGGTGTGTTACTTTATTCTCCATCCCCAAAAGCAGGCAAGGTTGTAGTGGTGAGAAGTTTTTGCTATATTTGCTGTGCTAACATGTATATGATGGTCCCAGAAGGTCAGGAGTCCTGCAGCATCAACCTATGCTTGGGAGGGGTGATTCTTGGGGGTTTTAAGCAGGCAAGACTGCCCATTTGGGGAATGGGGGAGTCTCCTGGGAGACCCCAGGAGGGATGGAGAGGTGCTGGCCATGCTGGTGGGCATCAGGGCAAACTGGGGAGGTGTGGGATGGGACCTGCCCTGGGCTGTGTGTCTCTGCAGAGAGTAGAGATCTGTAGACCCATGGCAATATGTGACTATTTGAGTTAGTGACTGAGGTTGGGCTGCCAAGCTTGTCTGAGCAAGGAGCAAATGGTGGAGGGCTGTTGTTTGAGTCTCTCCACACTGCTGCTTTCAGCTTAAGGAAGAGGGGTCAGGCTCTGTGCAGGTCTCAGTGGTCACTGATGGATGGGAGCAGGGCCAGGGCTGGTGCAGCATCACTCTCAGAGTGAATTGAGCTCCTCCTGCCCAGGTCTTCTCACAGTCCAGTTTGTCCCTTAGACTGGCTGGTGTTAGGGGGGGCAGACCCTTATCTGCTGACAAACAGCCTGCTCCCTCCCATGGGGCTGCAGGGGCAAGGCTGCTCCGGGGCCCCAGATTAAATGCAATTTCCCAGTGTGACAAAGCTGTGAATCAGAGTAGTTGGAGGCAGCGCAGGTTCTCCTCGTGGCGGGAGGGAAATGCCACCAAGATGCCTGGTCACTGAAGGTGAGGTATTTATTTCAGTGTGGCCTTAGCCTGGCTTGCAGTGTGATGCCTACAAGTTTGTAGGCGTTCAGCTCACTTTGTCCTCAATGTCAATCAGATGGTTTGGGATCTCAGTAGGGAATAACGTACAAAAATTGTGGCATCCCACTGCCTCCATGTAGCCTTTGGCAAAGTAGCTGCCAAAGGCTTTGGAGGCAGAAACCCCACCTGGGGTGTTGGGATGCCAGGGCAGAGATCCATGCTCCTTCCCACTGATGTTCCCTTCCCAGCATCATGCGTTAGCGCTGCAGGATGAAGCCATGCATCAAGAGATGCGACATGAGCTCCGTTCCAATGGCCAGGGAGGAAAAGCACCAGCGTCCCAGGAGCTGTTCAAATCCTTCCCTATGCACAGAAACACCTCAGGGCGGTGCAGTCCCAAACGAATGGGGCCGCTCTCTGAGCCCACAGAAGTCCTCCTGTGCTCACACAAATCACACGACCGTCGGGTGTCTCAGTCATGCGTAGGCACAAGGATGGGTTGGGATAAACTCTTCAACCCTGTGCGTTGTATGTGTCTTCTCTGAGGTTGTGTGAGTCTCCAGTGATCTTCTGTCCGGGCCAGAAACTCCAGGAATTAAGTGCTCCTTTCCCTTTCTTCTGTCACAACTTTCACTCTAGTTGTATTGTTCGGTATTGTCCTTTCGTTATGTTTTAACAGTGAAGCAGCAACATCTTTTGCCACCTGACACCATGCTAATGTACTATTGCTTCTGTTTAAAGGAAAGAGCAGCAGCCTGAACCATCGCCAAGGTCTGTATCACTGCCAACACGCCATCCCCATGCATTACCTGTAGATATCTATGTACGTGTGTGCGTGTGTGTACCATGTCGTGGTGCCATCGAGGGAAGCATTCTAGGTATTAACGTGCTTTTTCTGTGCTGTGGCAGTCCAATGTATCTCTGTGTTTGCTGGACCTTAAATCATATCTTCCTTCCAGTCTGCCTTGGGCTGTAGCTGCGAGGATAGTGAGGCTGTGGGGGCTAGCGAGAGCGTTGGGCAGCATGGGCAGAGCTGGCAAACACTATCTGGGGTGATGGCAGGGCTTTGGTTTACGCTGCTTTACTTCTGTTTCGTTGCTGGAGTCGTAGCTGAAACAGTACAACGAGGCTCGATGAGCACCAATAGCTGGGTGATGCTTTGCCTGTGTCTCCATCACCCAGCGCCATGCCGGGTGGAGGTGACATGGGACCACGAAGCCATCACCATGTCACCGAGTTACCAACTTCTCCTGAGCTCATCTTGCTGCAGGGCACTGCGCGGGGCTGCGTGGACCTGCTGCTCCGTGGGACACAGGAGGACTCTCTGACACCGCACGAGGTTGCATGGCAGAGACTCCCTTTTCTCCAACCCCATTCCCTTTGGCCTCACAGCCTCTGGATGAAGCACGGTCCCTGCTCCGTCTTCCCTCCACGCCTGGAGCCCATGGTGCAGAGCGTGCTCAAGCGGGTGCACTCTGAGACGTGGCGAGCACCTTCCAAGGCCAGCCATAAACCTCACCTACGGGAGAGCTTTTCTCTATTCACATGTCCCAGGGAAAACAGCAGGGCTGGTATTTGGGATGCTTTTCAGATACTTTTCATCCCCTTAGAACTATTGAATTCTGGTATTTTGTGTCCTGTATTTTCCAGGTCTTTTAAGAAGTAATTCAGAGACTGAATCTCATTTTTTAGCTCGAGAGGCAGGATGCAGAACTGATGATCTGTGGAGATCATCCACTTGGCTTTTCAGATCTTCCATCTCATATCTCAAAACATAACTTACAGCCAAAACGTTGTAAATAATACGTTTTTCAGAAGCATAACTGGAGCCTGGCATTTTTCAGATGAAACTTTTTGCTGTGCCTTTTAGCTTATAAGAGGCCAGAAACTTAATTTCACCCTGGCATAAAATCCAACCAAAGATATCAGGGTTGATACGGTGCTGATAAAGGAAAGAAGATTTCATCCTTCTTTCCTTACCCCCGGCCCCCACTCATTTTTCTGTCTTTCATTTGAGCTTTTCCTTTGCAAGCAGAACCTCCGCAGCACTTCAGCCACTTTCCTGCCAAAGAAACCAAATCTCCAAGATCATGTTTCAACTATCCAGATTATGTTATTTTTCCCTACATGGAGCCTCACAGCCAGAGCAGAGGCAGGGTCCATCCAGCTTTATTAAAGCAGGGATCATTGCATGAAATGTGCTCTCTGGGAGCAGACCAAGGCTGAAGTCTTGGCCGCCAGCCTGTGGTGGACATCAGGAGGGTTAGCTGTTCATCCCAGGGACCTGGCTCCTCCGCTGCCCTGTCTCAGCCAGTGACGTACTTTGGATGGATTAAAGGGTAAATCCACATTTATCACAGGTGTATGGTGATGAGACAAAACCTGTTTAACACAATCAGCTCCACAGCTGAGGGAATCTGAGGACCAACATAGGGTCACAGCAGCCAGCATCCCCCTAGTCACAGGCGCCACTCTTATTTCTGAAGCACTAGTCTTATTTCTTACTTTTGAATCTCAGTCCTGTCTTGCAGTGTTCATTTTGACCAGTTAAAACACTAGGTTGGATATAGTATTTCTCTGTAGAGGTTGCAGGTTTTTCCCTGATCATTTTCCACCTTGCTTTCTTAATCTTATGTCACAGAAAGAAGTAAAAATACTCTTTCACTGTTGTTTTTCAGAGTATTCTTTGCTATGTAAAGATCCTTCATGAGGGTTATTCCCAAATGCTGCTTTCCTGCTCCTGCAGTGTATCCGTGTCTTGTGGCACGGGTGAGTTTTGTTGCCCTCTGTTGTAAGATGCTAAACCTGAACCTGCTCAAGCTGAGGGTCTGCAGTTGCCGTGTATATGGCATTAGAGCACTTTCCTCATTGCTTAGTTCTTTGCTGCCCTTCTGTGTTTTGTTAGGACAATATCAATTCTCCCTGCTCCCATTGTCCTTTTCCATCTGATAAATCACCTATTTTCCCAAGCTAAAGTTTCTGGATCTTCCACATTCACATCCCAAATCTCCCACCCACTTTTAATTCCCAGCAGCCTCCCGGCGATGCTCAGTGTGTCATCCTGCCCTTGGAAAAGAAAACTCATCCTGTTTTTCAGCCCACCCGCCAGTTAATCATCCAGCTGATGCCCGTCTGTCACTGATGACTGTTCCACTTAGGAGACTCCTCGGGATGAGCCGTCTCTCATAGCAGACCCCAGCAGCACACTTCAGCTGGTAAAGGATTTGTCACTTTCCATCGATGTAAGAAAACATACAATCTCTGATCTGGAGATAGCTGGATCTTCCTCCTGTCGTAGTTATGTGTAGGGAGTGGCTGATTTCCTATATCCCTCTTTCCATAACTGATGCACCACAAATTCCTCACAGCAAACAGAATAGAAACAGCTTTTTCACTCTTTGCATCTTAATGTATTTTAGGTTGGAGAAGCGATGCTGGCACAGCTCGTGGAACGTGCTGTGCAAGACAGGCATTGCCTTGCAAGGTCAGGGCACATCCCAAATGCCCCACAGCCATCAGGGTCTTGCTCATGCACCATCAGTGATTGATGCTGCCCTCTGGCTCCAGTGCTGCTGTAGCTGTGCTGATTTCTGCCCATACAGCACCCGGGGAGCTGCTGCCCATGGTGGGAGGAAGTGAGAAGGTGATGGGGTTAGTCTGGTGGAGGCTCGGGGTCACCTGGAATTTCTCGTGTGGCTTTAGATTTGGTCTTGCTGTAAAATGGGACAGCCGATCTGAGAGACAAGTTATGTCCTTTCTCTATTGATTCTGCTTTGTTTTCCACCATGAGCTTGCCTGAATCCGTCTAGTGCCAGGAAAGCTCTGTGCTGATCTGCCTGGGGGGACAGGAGCTCATCTCCCCGAGACATGGAGCCCCGGCTTTGATGAGCAGAAAAGATGCTGGCCTTTTTCTACATGCTACAAACCTCTTCCCCCTGTTTATTTCCCTCTCTTCCTTTGCTTACAAAGCCTCCTCTGTTGCCTGTCACTTTGGGTGCTGTGTCTGCCCTGTCATCTGAAGTGGTCCCTGCCCTTCCCTGGGCTGGCTGCTGCTCTCATGCACAGCCTGAGCCCTCTCTGCCCCATAACCCCAAGGAAGGAGGGTTGCTCCATGGTTTTCTCCCCCCTCCTGCTGCAGAAAGCCAGCAAATGGGAGTGATAACAGGGTTTGGTTACTCCTCTGTTAATCAGGCTGGAAATTCACATCTCATCTCTGTTTATTTTGTCTTCTGATTGTAATGTCAAAAAGACAAACATATGGTTAGCCAGGACTACGGAGGCTCCTGTGTGAAATGTGTGCTTTGGATGCTCTTTAACAGATGGTCTGATAAACATCTGAAGGTATCCATGACCACGTTTCTTCCTCTTGCATTTTCCAAACTATGATTTGGTGAAAAGCTAAAAATTAATGAGCCAAATGATCATAATAATGCATTTATAACAGAGAAGAAGAAACAGAAGGATTCCAGGGAAGTGGGAAGCTAAAACTCAGATTACTTTGTCCAGCATGAGTTCAGTCCTGTAGGCACAGAGAGGAACCTCTTTGCAAGGTTGTCCTCAGTTGTGGTTTGTCCTTGCCTTGAAGGAACTCAGCAAGACCTTGGCCATTGTATTGAGTGAGTGCTGGACAGGGCCACCTTGTAACGTGTCTGTGTATCTGTGTGTATATCTCTATTTCAGTGTCTGTGTATGTCTGTCTGAGATACACACAACATGAATCTCTCTTTTCAGGGGTGTGATTAAGACTTTTGTATGCACTGGAGGATGCCTTTGGTTGACTCAGTGGGCCCCTGCTCATCCAGCCTAGGGTGTCTGAGGTGTCACTAACCACTACTGCCCGTGGAGAACAGTGTCAATCACAGGAGCCCCATGGGCCACGTTAGCCTGGGTTGGCGTTTGACATCTAACCCATTAAACTGGTGTCAGAGACTCATGCTGGGACTGTCAGTAATCTGGAAATAATCAGTTGCCTTCCGGGGAGCAGATTATTTGGACAGAAGGGACTGCAGCTTTCCATAGCGACTGCAGAGGAGACTAAGAGGAAAGTGACCCCCGTGTCTCCTTCAGGCTCTGCATGCTGAACATCCCGCTCCCACACCGCGATGCTCCAGAACAGCCCTGGTAGCACCACCAGTCCCCGGGCCTGCCCGGTGATTGTGGGGTCCGTTTGTGAGGAGTCCCCAGGATGCTGAGGATGGTGTCGGCTGAGCTTGCATGGGATGCTGCGAAGCAGAAAGAATTCCTGCCAATTCCTTCTGTGCGTGCCCATGAGCTCCTCCGACTGCCGAGTTCAAGTGTAAAACGAGGTTGGGTTTTTATGCCCTTCAGCCTTTCCAGTGTGACCATGAACTCAGCAGGCAATGCCAGGTGGGGTGATGGGGGCCACGTCATTCCCCTTGAGCAGGTAGAGGGCTGCTCCATGGCGTGGAGGACCCTGGTCGTGGTGGCAATCTCCAGTCAGGGCAGTGCCTGAGCAGTGATTTGGGATGGGCTCAGCAAAGCCAGTGACTCCCCAGAAGTAGCAGGGCCCGTCTAAAAAGTGCTATGAGAAACAGATGTGTGAACATGGATGTTCAAATCCCTTCCCATAAGGGACCACACCACACCCTGTTTTGTTCTGCTTTTATGTTTTTAAATGCCAGGCTTAATATAATGCTATTTCCTGTATGAGAAGTGCAAATAATTCACAGATTAACTAGCTCTTTTTGTGATTTTTTTTTTTTTAAGAAGAAATTTGAACCTTTTAGATGTTGTTGGACAAAACAAGGTAAAGTTTTGGCTCTCCATGGCTTAGACGAGTTTAAAATTGTCTTTTTTATATCTGCTTAGAGGAAGAAGAATACTTTTTGTTTTCCCAATTCAGACGATCTCCCTGCAGTCAATTGTAGATAAACTGACGCCACCAATTCAATGCAGAATGTGTCATTTCTAATAGTGACATTTATTGACCACAGTGAGACAAATTTCGGAAGCCCTCTTGATTTTCCTTCTTTATATTCACTTAATGCTCAAACAGATAAATCCTGTCATGAACCCGGCCCTCAGAACGCCTGTCTTTTGAACCTAGAGTCAGTAATCAAAAGTTTCCTGTCTGGCATTTGCTTCCAGGTCTAATTTTTACTCTCCCCTCATTTCCAGTAAAAGCAAACCGTGCAGAGAGTCACTATGCGGATGCTGCTCAGGAAACTCTAGGTACCACGGGAAATGCGTCGCACGAAACTAATCAAAAGCTGCACGGCTCATTCTCCCTCTACCCTGCTACCACCCGTTCTGATCACTTCTCTGCTTAATAGAGGTACTAGATGAGTAAAAACCAAAAGGTGCAAAGAGCCTCCCCATTGCCCGCTCAGAAATGAGCTGCTTCCTTGTCTGCTTGTCATGCAGAACATGTGAATCAAAGAGACGAGGATGGGGAATTTGGTCTGGGTTGAGCAAGCCAGTGTCTGCTCAGCAAGGAAGGAGGCCAGGAACTGAAGTTTAACAAATGATGGAAAATTACAAATGACAAATATTGAAATTGTAATTATTTTCTTTGTAGAGACCCCTTCCTCCCTATCCCATCCCTTCTCAAGGTCCAGGGAATCCTTGTGAATTGAATTGCGCTGTACGGCAACATCAAATCAGTAGCATGAGAAGTACCAGCTTCCTACCTCCGCTCAGTCACCGTTCCTTTGGCTCTCTGAACACTACAAATTGACCTTTCCTAGTCTTGTGGCCTTTGGAAGCCATGTCTTGCCTATCTAGCACCTCTACTACGCAGCTAGAGAAGGACTAATCTCAGCCTGTCCCACCAGATGAGGGGATACGGGTTCCCCTTAGTGTTGACATTGGCATTGTGAATGGTTCTGTTTCTAGATCCTGTGGGAACAGATAGATAGAGCAGAGGGTTTCGTAGGAGCAGTGTTTTCATCTTTTTCATCAGGTTGATAATTGCTAGGTAGCTTCAAGAATTCCCAGTGAGCATCCCTTAGTGCATCTATCTAAGGGTACCTAGATACGTATATCTTATTTTCCTTATGCATAAATACATCTACTTCCATGCCTGCACTGGAAGAGTCTCTTCCCCCACCCCAGACACTGCTTCTCAGCAGCAAACATGCACCTTCTTGAATTACCAAGCCCGGAGTTTGCATGCTGTGAATGCTGGCAGGAGAACCCCATCAGCTCTTCCCCTAGAGCCAGGCAGGTGGAAAGCAAGCCCAGGAGTGGCAGGACACTGAGTGATGCCGCATGTTTGTGAAGTCGGATTTTTGCATGCTCTTCTTTTTGGAGTCCGTTTTAATTCTCAAAATCACCAGTCTCTCTATCCCTCAGAAAGCCAACAAACTACAGATTTAAAAGTATATGTATCTCTGATTTTCTCCATTAATTGTTCCAACCTGTATCTTTTCTTTTCTTGCTCTTTATTTCCCTGCTGGCAATTTTTACTATCTGTCAGTCTAGAGGCTGGGACTTACGCCTGAGACTTGTGTGTCCCAGAAGCAGCGTGGTAAATCCCATCTCTGAATGGGTAACAAAGAGCAATGGGGCATGATCTAGGCTTCATAATAAGCAGATCTCCATGGTAGGAAATCCTTTCTACCTGGATAAATAGCCTGAATCTTCGAGTTATCCTCCTGCTGTGTGTTTTGACAGTACTGTGGCCTTCCTTGAAGTTTATCCTTGAAAGGTCTGGTTTAAATATTGAGTGATCATTTGCACAGGCAGCATTCAATACAAATGGCAAAGATTTGGTCAATAGTCTAGATGGAAAAAATTATCATGGTTTCTGTAGTGTTCCCATTTGCCAGGTGAGGTTGTTTTATCCATGAAGGTGTAGTGCAAGCAAGGAGTCCTCCACGGAGGAAGGCTCCTTTCAATTGCTTAACACTGAGGTTGGTTTTGGCAGAGATTAAAGCAAGCAGTGATATTTGTAATGCTGTCCTCTCACCTGTCTGTGTCCAGTTCTGTTCTCTGGAAAATCAGCCACTCTGATCTGAACATCTTCCTTGCATGTCTTCCTAGGCATGAGTTTTTAATTGGTAAAGCCACTATAATGTTTTTCTATTTCCTACTGGATTCCTTCCCGCTGTGGTCCTCATGTCATCTCCCCCGTCTTGAGTTCTTCAAGGGAAAGGGAGGTTGATACAAATTATTATCTCAAGATCTTCTTAATCCATTGGAGACCCCGAGAAGGAGGATTACAGACTGTGGTTCTTCCAGTCAAAAAGGAGTCTTGAGCTCTGGAGTAGCTACAAGGGCATCTTTGTTCCCCGCATCCATCCTGAACGTAGTGTTACACACACTGTGCTTTAGTAAAGCTATAGGCTAACGGTGAATGGACATAAGAATAGTTCAAATGTCTTGTTTTCCTGGACCCTTGGGCTGCCTGCCTGCAATCCCCCATTGCACAGACTGAGGGACACATGCCAGCACTTTGTTGCATCTAAGGCTGAGTGCTAGAAGCCTTCACCTAGGATGCATATTGCAGAAGAACAATAAGCGATGAGGCAATCATGGAAAACTCAATGTAAGTAAATTAATAGAAAACTCCTTAGAAGCCATGGTTTCTTAATGCACTAAACCAATGATCTCTAGTCAATAAATGCAATAATGCAAGCATTTTTAGCCAGTAATGTAACTATACCAAGCCAGCTTAGCAGGTCTATCATATTCTGCTTTGTAAGAGACTTTCCTGGTGTCTACTCAGAGAGATGAAGGCACCACAAAGACCTGGCAGTGGGAAGAAATGGCATGGAGACCAGTGAAGGAAAGGTGTTTGCAGAGCCCTTGGCTGGCTGGCAGGTCTGGGTGTAGTATGTTTATCTTAAAGTCTTGTTCAGGAATGATCAGCCAGCTCAAAGATGCAGTTTGGCTGTTTTGCCTTGCTCCTGGAATGCAAACCAGCTGAGCTGGCAGATAGCAAAAGGTTGTGCAAAGACGTGTCTGATGTGATGTTTGGCAGCACTCAACTTAAGTTTGGGAGGAAAAAAGCTGGGTGTTAGAAAAAGAGGAGTGATTATAACAGAACACTGCAAAATACCAAAGGCCAAGGTTAAAGACATGTTTGGTTCCAGTGTCTCTTCACTCACCCAAGGCCCCGTTCTTGGCCAGGCTGCTGTGGTGGATGCAGGGATGGTGCAATTCTGGGCTTTCACATTAGGAATTCAGTGACTCCCTTCAACCCAAGTTTAACACAGTGATTGTGGGTGAAGGGAAGAGGGATCACACACTATGACATTGATTGTTGGCTGACCTTTAGTTTTCCTTATGCTCAGGTTCTGCTTCTACAAACTCCATTCTCTGGGCTGAATTCACCATTGCAATGGCTTTCCTAAAAATCACTGGAGACAAAACCAGGTTTAAGCCTGGTCCTCTCTTGATTTTTGTATTAATCATGGCAAGTTTTGCACATAGAGGTGTATATTCCTTGCCTTCATGTCTCCAGTAGTTGGTTTCTGCCTCTTTTTCACATCAGCAACCAGAGCGGAGCCCAGTGATAGCCGCAAAGGCTGTCATTGACTCCTGGCACTCCTGCCTGGTTTCAACAAGCATTTCTCATATGCCATGAGCTCAGCACAAACTCTGGGTTAAAAAACAGCTTCATTTCCCAACAGAAGATGACCTCTTCCTCCTTTCTATAGCTTCTCAGAAGGGTGAATGCTGTTACTGGTTGAATTCATATGCAGGGATGGATCTGAGTCCATGCTAGTCCAACTCCAGTGCTTGCTGCTTACAAAACGAAAGGAGAAAATTAAATAATTGCTCAACCATAGTTTAAAATCAATGTCAAAATGTTACAACTGATACTTTTTATTGATCCAAAATTACTGCTAATGTAATGAGTCCACATTTTTTAAAAGTGCTGATTTAATACTGTAGAGGAATGTGAAATCAACCCCAACCCCAAGGGTTTCAAACAGGAGCTCGAACCCCCAGCATCCTAAGGAGGCTGATGGCAGCTCATGTGAAGGTTGGTTCTTATGCAATTTGCTGGTGAGTCCTGGGTTGTTGGACCTGGATGAACATATATGCTAAGCCCACTAAAGCAGTGAGCATCTTCCCATCAGCTGTGGGTCCATGCATTGGTCCTCGTTATTTCATCCAGCATGGGCTCTCATTTCTTGACTGGCAGCAGAGAAAAAACAACTCGGATTCTATCCTATGTTCAATTCAGGTCAAAAGCTGAAAGTTTTGTAAATGTTCCCCAAAGTCAGCCTAGAAACATAGGGGTTTTATGTTATTGAATATGTTTTTAATAGATGCCAACTGCAATTGGTTATAAAGACCTAGGAACTAAAGCAGTCCCTATTACACTGTTATGGCTTCCCATAATCTTCATCTCCAGTTGCAAAGCCACAGTTTTCTTTCCCTTCCCAACCCCTGGCACAAGCAAGGCACTTGCCCTGTGCTCATGCCACTTTTGGCTATCACAATTGCAAACTTCAGTTCATGTTGTTGTGTGTGGTTGTATTACTGCTTTCCTCATGGTCATGTCACCAACCCATGCACCTTCCACTGAACTGAGGCTCATTTACCATCTACTTGAGTGAAAGCTAAATACCACTTCTCTAAGACACTCCACATCACTCTGCATGACTTTCTGGTTGAATGAGAACATGATCTTGGATTACCTGACCACATATATCTCTATATATGTCTATATTTCTTTTAGACTCTTCCCTACCAGCTCCTGCAGACCCCAACAGCATTCTCCTCTGCAGGGATTGTACTTGCATGTGATTCCAGGTGTCATTTCCAATGAAAGACTTGCATGGCAGAAGGAAAAATCCAACTAATCGTTCATATTGTCTCATGTTGTCTATGTTAAAACAAAGAAGTTACATCAGGTGTTGGGTTTCTTTCCGAGTAGTGAGTATTCAGGAACAAAACTCATCCAGATCTTAATTGTTTTTTGATGTGTAAATAGCAAGAGGTGCAGCACTATCAGGTTTTATGCTCTTTGCTCATATTCTCCACTGAGTTCAACGCTTTCTTTTTTGCCTTTTGTAATTCTTGCAAACATCTGCAACGCTTTTATTGTGGGAATGGAAAAGGGGCCCCAAAGAAAAGGCCCTGCTTTACTCAGTGATAGGCAACTGCTTTTACGCTGAGATCGGTGATGGGAGCAACTCAGCAGAGGATGAGGCACAAAGAGGTTGCTCTGAATTCTGAATCTTGGTGTGTTGCTGATTCAGTTTTATACAACTGATGTTTAAAAAAGACCAGGTAGTTCAAAGTATTGGTACTACTGAAATGCAGTAGGTTCCAGGACTATTCTTCTGTAAAATCAGCTAAAATAAAGACGAAACAATCTAATTGGCCTATTTTGGATCAAATGACAACATTTCTGCCTGGTTTCACATCCAAGAAGCTTTCAAACCTTTGGCTCATTATATATGATGATTCTGGTAGCATCAGTGACTTGTATCCAGAAAGGTATTTGGGCATATGCTTGTTCCTAGATTCCTGTGTGGATTTGTACCTCTAATTTTCAGCTCTGCTGAACATCTGTTGGTCCCATGGCTTTCAGACAGGCCCTGCAGGTGGGCAGCACACTGGATGTGAATCTCCAGTATTTAATCTGAGTTAAAAATGCAGCATTAATTGGAATAATTCTGCCTTTTCTAACTTGGTCATGGGCAAGTTTTGTTTTCTCTCAAATGTATTTTTCAATGTGAGGCTGCTGCCCAGCCAATGGCCAGATAATCCTGCTCCTCCTTCCCTGGGTGCTGCATCCAGGCATCACCCGGCATCACGCTGCGCAACTGGAAAATGCTGCCTCAGCACCTTTCCCTCCCTGTAAACGTTCAACATCAAACAATGTAAAGTGACCTTGTAAAAATAGCACCTTCTTACTCAACAAATCTGCTCCCTACGTGTCTTCGAGTCACGTCTTCTTCCGTTACTGACACAACCAAATGTCTGTTCCTGTCAGCAGGGTACAGGTGGGGAAAAGGGAGGTGGAGTTTGCTTTGCTTCAAACACCAGCTAAGTTCGGACTGAAGAACCTCATGCTGGTTTTGAAGGCAAAGCAGGACCGTTTGGCTCGGAGTTTTCAGGTGCCGTTGTTAAGAGACAGAAAAAACCCACAGTTCTTTGGTTGGTGACTTGGAAATCAAAATTCCTGAAATGTTCTTCCTGTAAATTGAGTCAGAGCATTTGCAACAAACCAATAAGTGGCTACTGCAATGGAGCAGAGTACTGGGAGTTAACCCCCTGGGTTTATGCACTTCTGATTTACCTATATGTAATAGTGGCTGAATGTGCAGGTGCCTTGCACTGGTTGTCTAACCTCTGTTAGTGTAGCTTAATAACCAATAGCTATTCAGAAAATAGCAAATGATCCAATACCGTTTGCAGTTGGGTCTCCCCCAACGCTGAGATCTGTCTCTATAGCGTTTGCCCTTTCATAAAGATTCACAAATTCTTTTAGTTTTCCAATTTTCCTGTGAAAATTCAGCATCTTCCTTTGGGTGAAAGTTTTTCATTGCAAATTTCAGGGTTTGGGAAATAATCAGAGCTGGGTTGTCACCAGGCTACTGCTCAATGAGATCATCTCTGTTTCTGGAGAGATCTTTTCAAACCAGAATTACAAGGTTTTAAAGAAATGGGTTTCTAATAATAAAAAACCAGCAATAAAATGCCATATTCTGAAGCTGTCAAATTTGGCTTTGCATTTTTTTTGACACCCATAGCAGACCCGCGGATAGACGTTAGCTTATGGAGTGAATTGTTATAGGATACAAAGGAGTTGCACATTGAAGTGTTTGTATTTAAGCATTTAAATATCTAACTGGAAGAAGTGGAACTCTTTGGAATATCTAAAAAGGGCAGATCATGTTTTAAGTGGGAGGATATACAGGAGCTGGCAAAAGGGAAAAGATAGGGGCTGAGCACCAGAAGTGAAGCATTTGCAAGAAAGTTAAAAGTTTAAGGTTAAAGGCTTTTCTAAATTGGTATTTTCTTACTAGATACAGGGTTGTGGAAGGCAGTTGTGAAAGAAAAGCTTCCTCGCTCGTGATTGGAGCCGATCAGTGATTTAAGGAATCATAACCTCATTGTTTAATGTCATTCTGTCCCGCCAGCCCTGGCATCCCACGGGGGGCTTCTGTTCAAGTCCTCATTACTTTCTCTCTCTTAATAATCATTCCCATTTCACTCATTATGGCGGAAACATTTCTACGATGCTTTAAAAAACTCATAAAAATATATATATTTGGAAAAGAAAAAGAAAAAAAGCCAACAGCAAAACTGCATCTCACTGCTGCTTGGAAGTGCTCTTGGTTTCTAATGGCTGGTGGGGAAGGACTGCGTGGTTTCCAGAATGACTCCTCCTGCTGTCTCCTTTTTGTCTTTGTTTCAACGTGTTTCTCTGAACAGTCAGAAGGTCAGTTTGAAAGATCGTGTCTTCTCCAGTCCCCGCGGTGCTGGCACCAAAGGGAAAGGCTCTCCACAGGCTCAGGGCATCAGGAGGTCCCCCAGCGCTGACCAGAGCATCGAGGACAGCCCAAGCAAAGTGCCCAAGAGCTGGAGCTTCGGAGACCGCAGCCGAGCCCGGCAAGCTTTCCGCATCAAGGGAGCGGCATCACGGCAGAACTCAGAAGGTGAGGGCTTGGGGTGCCTCTGGGCAGTCCTAAGAGCAGCTCCAGTGCCTAAAGGGCCTACAAGGATACCGGAGAGAGGCTTTGGACAAGGGCCTGTAGGGACAGGACAAGGGGAATGGCTTTAACCTGCCCGAGGGCAGATTGAGATGAGCTCTGAGGCAGAAGCTCTTCCCTGTGAGGGTGCTGAGGCGCTGGCACAGGGTGCCCAGAGAAGCTGTGGCTGCCCCATCCCTGGCAGTGTTCAAGGCCAGGTTGGACACAGGGGCTTGGAGCAACCTGCTGTAGTGGAAGGTGTCCCTGCCTGTGGATGAGCTTTGAGGTCCCTTCCAAACCAGTCTGTGACTCTGTGATCTAGAGATGGATGAGCTGCACTTGACGTTGTTGGATGTCACCTTAACACACTGTTAGAAATGCTCTTATTTGGATGCTCAGCAAAGATATCTCTGGTGCTTCCCTTGGGGCTGCTGTTTTTGATCTGACTCATCATTCCGTGCATGGCACCAGGAAATAGTAATGGGTTGTCTTTATTCCTCCCTCTCCTAAACCCAGAAGCAAGCCTCCCCGGAGAAGACATTCCTGATGAGAACAAAAGCTGCAACTGCGAGTTTGTGACAGAAGATTTGACTCCAGGGCTGAAAGTCAGCATCAGGGCAGTGTGGTAAGAGAGGGAGAGGGGGGAAGCAGCCCGGAAAACTAAATAATAGGGAAAAAGAGACACTTCATGTCCAAGCAGCGGTGATAAATGCTGAGATGGCTGTCTGCAGGCTGCTTTCCCCTGGGTGGCCTGCCCTCCTTTGCAGAAAACGCTGCCAGAAAGGGCAGTTTTTGCTGAGGAAAGGAATAAATAGAGAAACAGGAAAACCCCCTGCGGGGATGCATCCAAATGCTCATTCTCACCAGCTTTGAGGTTTAACGCTGACGCTTACAGAAGCAGTGCAGGGAGTTGTACTGCCGATGGTCCAAGGGGCACTGGGGGACCGCAAGCCCCTGCATCACCTTCCCCTCTTACTGCCGCATCCTCTCCCAAACCCACAGGGTTGGGATTTATTCCATTTTCCTTCCAAAGCAGCTCCCTGCGGTGTGTTTTATCTGCCATTAAGCAGGTCAGGCTGCAGCCCAGGGACTATATTTTGTCTTTCCTCTCCATCTCCTGCAGCATTATGAGATTTCTGGTCTCCAAGCGCAAGTTTAAGGAGAGCCTTCGGCCCTACGACGTGATGGATGTCATCGAGCAGTACTCAGCTGGTCACCTGGACATGCTCTCCCGGATTAAAAACCTTCAGGCCAGGCAAGAGACCCCTCTCTTTGCTTCACTTTTTCACTGGTTTTTGGTCATTGTGGAGGTATTGGCAGGAGACAGATGCTTTCCTTTTCAGCTACAACTTGTTCTTTTTCTTCCTAAGAGGAAACCTCAAGGAAAACATCAGTGCTTGTGGCTGGAACCCACAGGGATGAGCAGGGCAGGGACTGCAAACAGTGTTGTTACGCCACTAAAACTGTTCCACCCCAGGATATACACACAAAAATCGTAGAGTCATAGCATGGTTTGGGTTAGAAGGGACCTTGAAAGACCATCTAGTTCAACCCCCTGCAATGAGCAGGGGCATCACCTTACTTCTCTTTAGGTGTTTCTATCATTATAGCGTGTCCCATAGGTAAGGCATGTGCTGTATTTCAGCTTCTGTGCTCAAATTTTAGGGGAAGAAGGGTTAGTTTTAATAGGGGAAAAAAAGTGTGGAAAAGGGACAAACGGAACCAAAAAGGGCATTTAAAATTTCATTTTCTCCTGAAAAAAACAAACCCAAAACAGATCAATTTTGTCCCCTGAACTGAGGATCTGAGCTAAACCTTTTTGACTGCTCAGATGGTGTCCCACGTTGAAAAGAAGACCCCAACAGCCCCCAGCTCTGTCAGCTCAGCAGAAGTAGCCCCAGTTGTGCTGAGCTCAAAGGACACCCAGAATGGAGGCAGGGTTTGGCCATAGGCTGTCTTCAATCAAAACAATAACACCATTTACTTTTACACTTGAAGAATGATGTAATTTCCCTTGATGGCTGTGGCAGCCCAGCTTTCCCTGGAAACCATCGGGGGAGTTTTTCTTTCCTTTCAAACCCTTCTAGGTCCCTGGTAGGATAGGAAAACGGTGTTAGGAAAAAGAGGTATCTCTCTTCTGCTGTGAATCTCTCGGAGACCATTTTAACTTTGCTATTTTTGATGTTCAAGCAGCAGAGAGAACTTTCTCAGCATTGCTTCACGCTGTGCATTTCCCAGAAGGTAGATTCTCCCTTGCGGTGGAGACTAAAATATCCTGGAGAATTTCCTCTCTTTCAGCCTCTCACCCCCATTCCGTATGAATTCAGAGATTATAGATCCAAGACGTGGAGCTGAATCTGGAGGGGAAAGAGGAGGAGGAAGGGCTTGATATTTCCTGACTTTCATAAGCTGAAATGGGAGAAAGGCCTCCAGCCTGCCTCTGCAGTAGGGAGTGAGCTGTTGGTGTTGTCATCTCCACTGGCTCTAGGGGGGACATGAGTTTTCAACACCCAAGTCTCCCATTGCTGATCCTTTGTTGCAAAGGCAAAGCAGTTTGGTTGGCTGTTGAATTGGGGAGGTTGGGGTAAGGAATTGCAGCTTTCAAAGACCAAACTGAATTCTCCCCTTAGCTGTACCAGTGGGACTGCAAGGCTGAGGTTGGACTGGGCTAGGGTTGCCATCCACCCCATTGCAGGGAAGTCGGGAGGACCAGGAGCTGCTAAGTGTGAAGTACTTGGATTTGGAATCCAGGGCTACCAGGCAGCTTCGCTGGTTTCAGTGTCCCCACTGAGCAGATCTGTGATAGGAGCAGAGCCCTTTTGGGGTCATCCTTCAGAGCACTCATTATGATAGCTGGGTGAGCACCAAAAGGTGCCATGGCTGGTCACCTGCCCAGTGCAACTGAAGGGTCACCCTATAGACAAGGTGTGTATCTGGGGTGACCGTGGCCAATGCTGGGGCATGACCAAGTGGACTAGAACAGTGAACCCATATGGTGGAGCCGAGGGAGGTTGTCACAGGGCACCTTGGAGAACAGATACCTTTCTTTCCCTTTCCTTCAGCAATCAAAGCAGTGTGTTGTCCCTGCCAGCTCAGCTCAGCTCAGCAGGGCTGGCTGGGACCTCTTATAGCCAGGGCTTTGGTGGATTAAAGCTGCATTCAAGCAGCTTTCTGGGGTGTTTACATGCACTTTCCTCTTTAATCATTAATGCCTCTGTCACTGTGTCTGTAATGTGCTCTTTTCAGTGTTGTGTTCACACTGTCTCGTGTCTCATCCTGACACCTTGCCAACCATGGATGTCTCCCATTCATTGAGTATACAATCCTGCAGCGTATCTCACCGACTCCCAGCAGCTCGTGCTTGTCTGACCTAGCTGAGGATGCGTTATCTAGCACTGGAACTGAAAGGAGAATGAATATATGTTGTTTCATATCCAACTGCCTCAATGAGATATTGCTACACACATGCAAATATATTCCAGAGGGTATCTGGGGTGGGGGGACCTCCTGATGATGTTTCAGTGGTGCATGAATCTCCCGATCTTACCCTGAAGAGGGAAGACTGTGGCTTTCACTGAGAACCAGGTGGTAGGAGAGAGCCTTGTGTTTCCAGTGGGATCTGTGTTCAATTTCTCTCTCTTTCTCTCTCTGTCGTTCTGTTTTTCAGTTGTTTCTTCCTGCAACTTTTTCTGACCAACTTTTCTCTCCATGTTGCTTCATTATGCATTTTTGCTGGTGTCTTTCTTTTCTTATTTACTTTGCCAGGATAGATATGATTGTGGGTCCCCCACCCCCTTCAACTCCCCGGCATAAGAAGTATCCAACCAAAGGACCCATGTATTCTTCCAAAGAATCTCCCCAATACTCGCCTAGGTTAGGATTCACCAAAATGCCTCTTTCTCTGGATTTTTCATTTGCTTTATGTCAAACCCCTTTCATGCCAGTTATATGACGGCATTTATCACTTGGGTATTTGTTAGCAGCTTGCTAAATCATGACTCAGAAGGGGTTGCTGCTCTGGGTGTGCTCTGATTTACTTTCAGTAATGAGATTTCATATTAAGCAAGCCAAAGGGGAAAAAGATATTCAGTCATCAATAAGCATCAGTTTCTTCAGCTAGTGTGTTTTCTATTTTCAGTCTTCTTCCAGGTGTTAGAAAGCAAAATTACATCTTTTTAAACCCTCCTATTTTATTAGGCGATCTTCAGATGTAAAAGGTGGAATATTTACCCACAAAGCCAATCTAAACTGAGCAATCTGCTTTCTAAAAGGCAAAACACTGCACACAAGCAAAGGAGCCTCTGCAGCTCTTTGTACTCTGAAATGAGCTTAATTCAGTGGGCAAAGTAAGAATGAAGTGTTTCCTATCTGGTGAGCACAGTGGTCTCTTCCTTGCTGATGCAACTGTACTGACCATGGGTGGAGAAATATGTTAAAATATTACAATCATGGGACTCATATTAAAATAATAATAGTAATAATCCTGATTTTACAAGCAAAAAGAGCAGGAGTCAAACCCAGCCCTCAGTCACACAGCGAGACTTTTCTCATTGCCCTTATTAAAGTCTCTCCTTAGGTAAAACCTTACCTGAGGCTGATGCCACAAGGAATATATTCTCACTGAATTACCCATTTTAGGGCATTCTGAGGTCTGGTCAGCAAGGCCATGAGCTGAGCTGTATTTTCACCTTGTATTGAGACCACTGGAGCCCAAGGCAGGTATAAATACTTGCTAGAAGGTAATTTTCCATGCACAAATAGTAGGTGATTTTTAAATGCAGCAAGCTTAGTCTCAGATATTCTTTTCTAAATATACTTGCCCTCCCTAAGAGCTAATATGTGACAAAGCTCTTGATTTTGATTTAAGCTGCTCTGAGTAATCTTCGCTAGAGGAATGTGAGTAAAAAGGAATATTGAAAGCTTACCTTTTCCCACTCAGCCAGCTCAAAGACTGAAAAAGAGGGAATTTTCCAGAAGCCCTAAGTTTTATGCTTGGAAAATAGATGTTCTCCGAAAAGCATTTTCTCCATTTCTCCTCTGTGCCAAATGATGAGGCCTAAAAGTAGTCTGTAAAATGGAATAACTTCATCTGCAGAAAAAGCTTGATTTTAAAATAACAATGCATATTCAAATGGTTTTGTTGTATTTAACCTATGAGATGAAGTGTGCAACAAACCTTCACTAGGGACATATCCCAAGAGCTATCCTGACCCCATGGGTTGCATTGTGGGGCTCTAGTGACAAGGACTCAGTTCAGCCAAAAGGTTTCTGCAAAGGCATGTGGATGCTGGAGGATGTCCATTGTGGTCTGGCTGAAGGTGTTTGCTCCCTGCTCTACACACGGACAATTGGGGTTAAATTCCCTTGATTTAAAATAGAATAGGTGCAACCTCAGCTCGAATTCTTAAGCAACAGATATTGATCAAAGTATGTCTAGAGCTTTATTGCCAACTGAGGAGGTCAGTCGCCAGTCCTGTGACATGGATGAAGGGGGTTTGGCTTCACTGCCTGGATTGTGTACAAAAAATTATAAGAAAGAAATTAAGAACTAAAGAAGAATTGAATATCTATCCCCAAACACTTCATTTTTATCTCATTTGAGCCGTTTGACCTTTTTGATGTCTGCTTCTGGCCCGAGGGTGACATATTACACCTCTTTGCATGCACTGTTAGCATGAAGCATAATGAAGCATGAGAAAACCTGCACTGTGGCTGATGCAAGACCTTGCATTTTTTTTGTATCATTAGAAAGAAGGAAAGATACCAAAGTTTACTGTAAGGAGCAATCCCCTTTCTCTCTCCCTCCCAAACTAAGGCCCGCAGAGCCTGTCGAGGACAGCAGATGGCACAGTTTGTCACATCAATTCAGACTCTCTGAATCCTCTTCAAACATGAGGCTGACTCTTCTAAAGCCTCACCTGAATTCTTCCCTCTGCACGTGTGTATCTGACACAGAGTGTTGGGAAGACAGAAGGGATGTAGTGCAGAAGTGGGGTCTGGCATCTCAGGAGATACGTGGTCCTTTGGCACTATCCCCCTCTACTTGCAAACGTGTTCCCTCATCTTTTGAGCTTTGCTGCCCAATTTGGACAAAACCTCAAACTTATAGTAGCTAAAATGACCTCTTGCTCTTTGCAGAGCTCAGCTAGGTACAGGTGGGTCGGGAGCTCAGAGGAAATTCCTCTCTTCTCTTGGACCAGATAAGGCACAGATGAAATCTCTGCACTTTGCTGAGTAGGAGCACCCTCCTCTGGTCTAACTTTTGCCATGGGAAGCAAAGGGCTGGGAAACCTTGAGCCTAGTTTCTCCCATCAAAAGAGAAGGACATGGTTCACCACCTTCTCCCCTCTCTGCACTGAAGTCAGTGGTCCACAGCTGCCCACCGCACCATCCTTGGTGCAGAGCCTGTCCCCACAGCGAGATCTGGCTCCCTGGTTTCTCAGAGGTGTGGAAGATGACCACCTCAGGAGTCAGGACTATGTTAAAGTATAGACACGAAGGGAATGAATCAAGCAGGAAGTCTCCTGGGCTCTGATGTCAATGGTATATGGGCAAGGGCTTCTGAATGCTTTGTGAGCGAGCTTTGTGAAGGGCTTCAGTCCTGCTTTTAAATCACAGCAGGTCCACAGGCAAGTTGTGCCTAACCTGAAGGTGATGGAAGAAGTTGGTGCTCTTCTATATGATACTACTGATCAGCTGGCGTTCTGTGCTTCACATGGGTTAAGTGAGGCTCGCTTCCTGGATAGCTCTTCTCTTAAGGACATGGAAGAGACCAGAAGTCCTTCCTCAGTTTCTGAAGATTAGCGGTAGGGTTGCACAAGACTCTCTCAGCTATTACGATACACCGTAGCGTGGCAACATTCAGTTTTCCTCTGTGTTACAGTCTGTCCTGCCTCCCTGCTCTACTCAGCAACTGTTGAAGGACATCTCATTTCCGTTAGTGGACACATTTCAGTGTTAGTGCTGTGCTAGGTGGGACACAAGGACCCCCCCAGCCCCGACTGGTCTTGGCCTTATGCAATCTTCAGTAGTGTTTAGACTTTGGGCCTCTTTAAACTCATGTTCATTGTTTTACTAGTCTACTTGCTTGTGCATACAGGAGAGGAGTTCGTACAGTGGCTGTACTACGCCTTGACTTGTGATTCCAAACCAAGGTAGCCCGAGGTATCCAATTTAATACCTCTTTGCTTACATGGGAACAACCTTGTCATAGGATTTCTTGTGCCGTATGTCATGTCAGTAATTGCATCCCTCGTGGGGAGTTCCTGTACGTGTCAATAGTTTCCTTCTCCCATTACAAGAGAGAAATAAAGCATGCATATTCCTCACACTTGTAATTATAGCACTTGGTGCTCCTTGTACTCCTGTGCTTATATTGCTAAGCAAAGGATCAAACATGACTTTTTAAACAGAACAGCATTCTGTCACATCCCTGCCCAAATGAAGTATCTTCTGGGATCAGAGATAAACTCCAAAATAATTGTTGGCTTGTGTTTCCTGTCTTTGGTGTGATGTGCTCATCCACTTCATCTCTTTGAGCCAGATCGTCTGGTGCTGTAAGCTGCTGTTGCTCTAATATAAGCTAAGGGAGCCACGCTGCTGCGTACCCACTGGTATCTGTCCCTTAATGTCGAGAGCCACCATATGTATGAAGTCCCTGTCAGATGTAAACAGAACAGGTAGCTCTTGTGTTGGAAACAGCCTCACGTCTCATTCCTTTCCTTGGTTTTTGTTTGTTCATTTTCCCCTGTCTGTCTGTGTTCAGCTCCTTCCTTTTCCTCCTCCTGGTGCATGGACCCATGGCCCACACGGCAGAACTGCGTAAGGAGCATTTTGAGTTTCCCACTCGAGAATCCTCAACTTGGTTTCAGTCAGATGAATTAACCCTTCTTTTCCCCCGCCACCCTTACGTTTGGTGCATTATGCAAGAGTAAAGTTTGCCTGGCATAGAATTAGGTTATGAACTGGGCTGCCATTAAGAAGCTATTCCAAAACTGACTTTTGAGGATTCAGGAAGCTCTGGTGGTTGCTCTCCAGAGAATTTATATTTGATGCCTCAAGTACAATTGACTTCCAGCTTCCAAAGTGTCTCTGCCCTCCTTCTTCCTCTGCATACAGAACTCTATATCAACCCGGGTGTTCCTATACTGAGAGTTTGCAAATGTAATGTGTGTAATGAAGTTTGTGCCAAACAACATGCTACAGGCAGGAGTGTCCTCTGCTGTTCCCAGCTTGGAGCCCTGCTAATAGAAACCATCTAATGATACAGGTGTGAATGGCAGTAGCATTGAGATAAGACAATTTGGTAATGTTTGGTGAGTTGTGACCAAACTCAGCCTAGATGTAATTCCACTAAAACAACATTTCACCTCTTTGGATCTTAGGACAAGTGTCTCATTTTCATGGGCATGAGAATTACACACTTATATTTGCATTGAGGAGAGGAAACTGCTGCAAAGACTGAGACAAAATCCCATTGACACATACGAGACAGAAAATGTGATCTTCCCCCCCAAAAAGAGTAATTTCTCAGTACAAATAAGCCGTGAGTTGATTTGGGAGAAATTCTTTGCAGTGGGTAAACTTACTATGCATAATGTGCCAGGTTTGATCTGTATAAACAGAACTGGATAATCCCAAACTCTGCTAATACCGCTCTGAATTTTGCATCTGAATTAACACTTCAGTGCCACTGCGTGTCTGTGAGTGATTGGGAGCGTTAGTTGGGAGAGAGGCTGTTGCTTTGTCCCACGGAGGTGTGGCGAGCGGAGCCCTCCTTGCCTGCTGCCTCCAACTGACTCCACGTCCTTTTTCGGGGCTGGGGGGGATTTTCTGATCCCGGTAGAGTTGACCAGATCGTTGGGAGAGGATCCTCCATGACTGACAAGGATCGGACCAAAGGGCCGGCAGAGGGGGAGCTGCCTGAAGACCCTAGCATGATGGGCAGGCTTGGGAAAGTGGAAAAACAGGTAACTTGGGCCAGGAATGGGTTCCTATCAGTGGGTGTTGCATGTTTTGTGTTCGTTTCTTCTTGCCTTATTTTTCCCCAGAGGGACATTGCCATTTAGAAGAAGTAGGAGCTAAGACTATTTTCAAAATGAAACAATCTGGATATTACAAAAGGGCACTTAGAAGCTTAAGTACTACTTTCAAAACAGGCATTTTGGAGTCTCCTCATAGTTTACCAAGTCAACATTACTTCTAAAAATGGGACATTGGTTTCTTTGCCACCACACTAGACATGTTTCAGATGAGGCCATGAGCCTGGCTGCTGGAGCTGCTGGCTGTGCTGAAGATGAAAATCTTCCTAGAGGATAAGGCTCAGAAATCCCTGTGGCCACCTGAGCCCAGGCAAGTGCCAAATGCAATAAGGAGCAGAAGGGATGCGAGGCTGCTCCAGCTCTCCTGGAATTTGGTGCCTGTCAGAAAGATTATAGGAGCTTAAGGAAAACACTGCAACAAGGTGGAGAATGAAACACGTCAGAACAGGACAATTAAATATTTACTAGAAGTTTCAGTGTGGGGGTCAGTGTAGGCAGAGGTCATCTGTGAAGCCCAACCCCACACTTGTGCCCAGGTGGGTTGACAGTTGCTTGTACTCAGGATGTTAATGTGCTTCAATCCACACGCAGCGTGTAGCACTGGAACTGTGGTGTTTTACAGGTTCAGTCAATGGAGAAGAAGCTGGACTTCCTGGTGAACATTTACATGCAGCGCATGGGCATCCCACCGACGGAGACGGAGGCTTATTTTGGGTCCAAAGAACCAGACCCAGCACCTCCCTACCACAGCCCCGAAGGCAGCAGGGAGCACATTGACAAGAACGGCTGCATCATCAAGATCATCAGGTCCACCAGCTCCATGGGTCAGAAGAACTTCTCCGCCCCACCAGCCCCGACCAACACATGCCCGCCTTCGACATCATGCCAGCGGCAGAGCCACGGCTCCTCGCCTGTCGGAGACCCCGGCTCGCTGGTCCGCATCCCACCTCCGCCTTCCCATGAGCGTTCCTTGTCAGCGTACAGCGGCGGGCACAGGGCAAGCGCGGAGTACCTGAGGAACGAAGACATTACAACCAAACACCACGAGAGTGCCATGAGAGACAGCGACACGTCCATCTCCATCCCCTCGGTAGACCACGAGGAACTGGAGCGCTCTTTCAGCGGCTTTAGCATCTCCCAGTCCAAAGAGAATTTGGACATCCTTAACAACGGTTGCTATGCAGCCGTGGCCAAAATCAGACCCTACATTGCAGAAGGGGAGTCAGACACCGATTCTGACCTCTGCACGCCCTGCGGTCCTCCCCCCAGGTCGGCCACGGGTGAGGGACCCTTCAGTGACATGGGCTGGTCAGCCTCCAGGCAGTGAAGCCTTCTTGCAGCCACCGAGCCACATCCAAGCGCTGGCAGCTGCCCATGCATCAAACTTCTCAAGGAGATCGACAGCTAAGGTTTTCCTCCTTCTAGGACATCCTTAGCTGGCAGATACTTTCTTACTCTGGGGTGGGGGAATGAGCAGGTCGGAGCCTGCGTTTGTGGAGGAGGTCACGGTGGTGAGCGAACTGGAGCCGTGAAGTCCAGATTTCTTTCATACTCTCTTTCTAAGATCATTGGGTGAGATTATTTCATGGTGCAGGGTAGGCAACTTGCGTTTCTTGGGGACCTTCAGAAGCGTAGGGCAGGAATAAACTACCTGGCCAGGGCTTTTGGAGGTCACGGTTACAAGTGTTAGGTAGGAATTGCCACGTCATAGCACCGGTGATTC